CGGCCGCGGAGGACGGGGACGTGGACGGGGCGGACGGCGGCGGCTGCGGCGAGAGGGATCCCGGCGAGGCCGACGAGCCGCGGTGGGCGAGCCGAGCGGTGAACGGCAGCCGGCTCCTGGCGTACAGCTGCCGGGAGCACTACTCGGACTCGGAGGAAGAGGACGACGGCGGCGGCGGCGGTGTGGTCGGGGCCTCCTCCTCCACCTCCTCCGGTGGCGGCGGCGGCAGACAGGTATTCAAGGACGACTCCCTGGCCCGGCATCGACCCAGACGGAGCCATCCTAGTAAGCCTTTCTCGGCGCTGACGGCTAAATCTGGCGGCAGCCGGCAGGAGACTCCGGTGCAGGGAGGGGGAGGACTCGCGATGAATGACAGGGCGGCTGCTGCTGCTGCTGCCGCCGCCGTCGCCGCCGCCGCCGGGAGTCTAGACAGGAGCCGAACCCTGGAGGAGGAGGCGGCGGCGGCCGAGCCGGGAGGAGGGGGGTGCGAGCCGCTGGACGCCACCAGCCCCGTTCCTCGGTACCGCGCGGGCGCCAAGAAGCTGGCCCCGCCGGGTCCTGACATGGACTCCTCCACCCTGGAGCCGCCCACGGGGTCCCTGCTCAAAACCAACAACCACATAGGCGGTGGCGCCTTGGGCGGCGGCGGCGTGGATCCCCCCAGCGGCTACCCCAACAGCCTCCCTCCCGGTGCCGCCGCCGCCGCCGCGCCCCCGACCTCACTCAGGATCAATCACGCCAATCATACCGGCTCCAATCACACCTACCTGAAGCACGCCTACGGCAAGCCCAAGCTGTGCGAGCCCGAAGAGGAACTTCTCCAGCAGTTTAAACGGGAAGAGGTGTCCCCGACGGGGACTTTCAGTGCTCACTACTTGTCCATGTTTCTCCTGACTGCCGCCTGCCTGTTTTTCCTCATATTGGGACTGACTTACCTAGGAATGAGAGGGACGGGAGTCCCCGAGGATGGAGGTCTCAGTAAGTATTAAGTAATCCCGGAGGGCCCAGGTTTTATCCATTGCTGCTGGTGGTGACCTTTACCTGCAAGGAATGATGGGTTTAACCACGAAAAGGCTACGGGGGAGACACCACGCATCATCTTTCTTTTTTGAGAAGGAACAGGATTACCAGAGTCAGAGTGGTATCTTAGCACTGGTTTTTAAGTTTTTCCGCACGGTGTGTTGTTAAATTCAAAACAGCTTATCGAAGAAGGAAACAGTACCGGTAAAAGGCACTGGAGTGTCTTAATGTCTTTTTAGTTTTAAATAACTGCAGATGTCATTTGCTCATGAGGTTTGGAATATTACCATTTTTAAGCAGGGCCATACATGCAGTGTTTTCTTTTTTCAATGCATTATGGTTGAAGGTCACAATGTACAGTGTGTTGAAGTTGTGGTACACACAATATAGGTAGCTGTCTAATTTCTTTAAAGAGAATGTGTTGAGAAGGCAGCAGGGCGCGCCTCTTAATTGACTTCTCAGTCCAAAGCCCCTCCCCTCCCACCCGTGAAGAAAGTCATGGTAACTTGGCGCGTGGATCTTGGGGTCAGCTTTACTTGGCCAATGACTGTAGGCAGGTGTGTGCATTCATTGAGCTCGAGCCTGTACTGAGTACTGAGTGATCAAGACAACAGTAATAGGTCAGACCATTCAGAGAAGATAACGGTTGTGTGTCCCGTGAAGACACAAGGATGAAGTCATTGGGGTGTGCTCTTTCAGATTGCATGGTCACAGGGGTACTGTTGGAGGTACCCAAAAAGTAGCATTGTAGGGAGAGGGCCATCTGGCCAGGGATGGCCAGAAGGGAAAGGCCTTGAATGGGGCCAGAGACTTGCTGTAGGTTCCTGTGGTTGGAACTTCCTCTTCCTCACGTGGAAAACCATGCGAATATTGACTAGGATGAGGTTTATTAAGATTGGACATAAATTAGTGGATAATGGACCGTTATGTTTCTTCCCATTTCCCCTGAAGATTTTCTCCTAATGTGCATTTACAGTACCATGATTGGTGTTTATAAAGCTGGCTTACTATATAGTTCATTTCAGAATGATGGGATGGATGCAGTTAGCGGAGTCAGTAGTGGGAGCTTTGGTTTCTGTATAACAAGTCCAAGGTAGTAAATACATAAATGACCACAGTATTGTTTAATTACAGGCTGGCAAGAGCAGCCCTGGCTTTAATTGGCTCTCTGGGAGCAAGAGTGATGTACTGTGTCCTGCCTTAAATATTTGAGAGGGCCACACTAGCACTCTGGAAGTCAGACTCTGAAGTCAAATGGCATTCCGTGACAGGGGGACCCGCTTTTGCAAGTTTGTTTTTCTGGCCCTGTGTCGTCTGTCTGGCTGTTACCCGAACCCCAAGTGCTCTACATGGAGTGTCTCCCCCCGACCCCTACCTGAAGTGTCTTTCCCCGTCTTCCCAACAGCTCTCAGAGAAAGGGATTATCTATATCTGTCATCTAAGAGTAGAAATACCTTCCAGCTTTGTACTGTGAGGGTCAAAGGCGATGATTAAACATGAGATGATATTTATTTAGAGGTTCAGATGACATTTGCTGTATTTTTGGTAAATTACAGTTTATATGTGAGAAATAGGTATGAATGTAAATTATGTTTACTGTGCTTTTTCATCTGTTTAACATTTAACATCATTAATTCTGTTGGACACACCTTGAAGCCGTTGATGCAGAGGTTGAGTCACAGCATGAGGAATCACTTTGGGACCTGACGTACTGTGAACCAGGGTAGAAGTGCTTGCTAGTTCTGCTAGCCTGCTCACTTAATGGCGTTAGGGTTTTCAGAGTGACTGTCTTCACTCCTTATGTTCTGAATCTTTTGTCATATTTTAATGTTTAGCCATAGCTTTCATTGGTCAAATAGTGTGATTAAGTTTTACTTTAAGCAATACTTTCACCAGAAGATTGTAGGGTTATATGTGACCGTAAGCTTTTATTAGTTATCTTTTAAATTACATAATGTATACTGGTCTTTTAAATGTTCTTTTTTTTTTTTTTTGAAGTACAAAGTTCTTAAGTGTTTTGGTCTTTGCAATTTTTTCATTAGTATCGTAGTGAAACTACTTTTACTCATTAAATTTCTGAGTTTGCTTTCTCGTCGGTAGAGTTAGGTGTCAGCTAAGATGAGCTAAGCTTTACCAGTTCCAAGGATTCACATTTTAACTCTAAGCTGCTATCAGATCAGCTCACACATTAGCCCTCAATAACACTGTCCTACAGATGATTGAATCATGACAGCTCACTAAAAGAAAAGAGAGAACAGAATAGATTGCCTATTGTAGACTCGTGGTTGTTATTTAAAAATCATTCTTCAACTACAAAAGACATGATTTTTTGTAAACAATTTGAAGAGAGATGAAGCACAAGATGAGTATAATTATATATCCCCTCTTCCTAATTTCCTACCCATTCCTGGTCATTTATCACAGCAACAGTAGCTCCTTTCAGAACTTTCTTCATACTTTCCATGTAAATTTAGGTGGGTTGGTTTTCATCCCGATTGTGTGTGTAAGTTGTACTGTAAGTGCCTACCTTGCCATTAGCTTTTAAACCAAGTTGAGGGTTGAACAGTATGTGGTTATATGGCAGATGAGATTGCCTTCAGAGCCGACATCCCAGAGAGAAAGATGGACAAGTAAAAGTAATAGTTTATTATTACGTTAGCCCAAGGAAATGCTGGTATCTTTAGGTAGGTGGAGGCGGGGTGGGAGTGTGTAATCCTGTGTACAGGGAGGCAGGCCTCTCTGAGGAGGTGACACACAACCCAGGATCAGAATGGCCTGGAGGGTTAGCCATGGTCAAGAGGAACACTCTGGCAGATAGAGCAGGCTGAAGGGGCAGAAAGAGTGGCCAGTGTGGCTGGGACTGCGAACGTGAGGGCACCGGCACATGGTGTAGTCAGTTTGGGCATGGGTGAAGTCTTCACGGAAGAGTCTGAATTTT